AAAATTAACTACACGTAAATAAGCCCTTTCTAAACTTTACATCAGGGCGAAAAAAACACTTCCTCTCTTCGCTAATGCTCTAGCCGTGAAGTCAATTCAAATATTCTTTTTCATTTTGCACTTCACCTGATGGCTGTATTTCCTTTCTTTTACATCCGTTACTGATCCTTATTGAGTAGGTGCCGCTCGGTGATCTGCTGGGTTATCTGAGGAAGAATTGTGGGCTCAATGACACGTATTTTAATAACCCGGATAGAAAACCGGAAACCAACCTAACTTCAAAGCAGTTGATGAAGTCTGCATGGCAGATAGCTGACGGGATGGCTTACTTTCGTCGAGGAAGGTGAAAGTCTATAATAATTGCAATTCAATGGCTGAAAGGGTATTTTCGAGGTAGAATATGACCCAACACAATTGCAGTAAAGCAGATCAACTAAAAACGACTTCTGTTTTAGATAGTCCATCGTGACTTGGCGGCCAGAAATGTTCTTGTTGGTGAAGGAGAGAAATGTAAGATGACAGATTTTGGGATGGCGAGGAATATTCCGCAAGATGATATTTACACCAAACAAAGTCGAGTGAGTACATAAGCCTGACCGAATGGGACTACTGATAAACATCCGACAAATATCATAGGATAGCATTACGACGTATTGTTAAGTTATTTATTTATCTTTCAGGGCCGGTTGCCTGTGAGGTGGACTGCTTATGAAGCTTTGTTATATGGAACATACACGACACAAAGTGACGTGTAAGTACTAAATAACTTAAAAACATTTGTCTCCTCGTAGACTTCTTAAAAATTAATTAGGTTCGTTTGTCAAGGGTTCATAAAAGCTCATGAAGGATAATATTTTTACCAGTTGCTCATAACTGCTTTTGATTCCTTTTAAAATACCAATAATGAAAAAGACACTGGAATTTCTATCTGAGCGTTGCACCTGTAGAAAGGAAATGGGCTACCGCCAGAGGCAAAGAAAAATCTTGAACTCATTGGAACTCGAAGCCACAAGCAGACTGTACGGATTGACTTTCGAGGTTAGAGAGGATGGAGCTAGGTGGGTCGACCTAAAAGAAAGAACGCAAGGAGGTCACTGATTATAAAAATTGACTGAGGAAGATAAGGCCAATTAATTTTACGTGATAATATCGTGATGGTTGCCTAATATCTATACATGGAGGGTGCATAAGGAAATGTGAGAAGGAGATGTTGAAGGTCTCGTGGTTAACTCATCATTGTTGCTCAATATTTCTACAAATTTGAGCAGCCATGTCATCAAAAATACCCAGACATGCCCAGGTCCGTTAACGTTCTAAACTGTTTTCTCCCCCTTCCCCTTTCCCTCCCCCTTTGATTGGATAATCATCTATTCCCTTGACGGCCCAAAAACCGTGTTTCGTATAGAGTCGGTAGAAGCTTTTCACACAGCAGTGTTGGCTTTATCAACCTTTGTTTCCCTCCATTGTTCCCCGAACTCCTCCTTCCGTTAAAATTTTCGATACCAACTATGTATCATTTATGTTTGCTCTTTTGGCAGTTGGAGCTATGGCGTGCTGCTGTACGAGATTCTCACCATAGGTAGGTCTAGTTAAACTTCATTTACATTTAAGCTATAACTGAGTCATGCAAACCATCATGTTGCCTGTGTTTATCACATCTAGGTGGATCTCCATATCCAGGAATAAGCCCTCGACAAATCGTAACGAAACTTCAGGAAGGATTCAGAATGCCAAAGCCTTAATATGTGGATAACAAACTGTAAATACATGTCTTGTTACGCATTTTTATGTGAAGCATAATTAGCCGATATGTACACTTAAAAAGACAGCGTTGTGACTCAACAACGCTGTAGGAATGGTTGTCGAAACACGAGCAAACAGAACACTGGCAACGCGCTGGCGTCATACAGTTGCCATCGGAGGAATCATCGTTACGATCATTGTTTACATTTTGCTTTTTAGGACCCTACCAAAAATGCCCTTTTAATATCAATGATGTCCTAAACAAGAACAAGGACAAGCCAAATGAACCCGTAGCAACAGTCCCCCAAAAAGATGTTATTGTTTTATTACCCTATATAGGTCTCCATAGCAATCATATTACTTAGCGTCTAAAATCTTGTGTAAATTGTTTTTACTCTTTTGTTAACGTCAAAGTTATTTTTCAAAACACTCAGCGCATCAAATCCTTCTTCCCATACAAGGGGCGGCTCAACCGATCACAATTATCCAAAGTCATTTATAAGTTAGTTGCTGGGACTGCTATGATTTTTACATTGGGAAAACGAAGCGAAGACTCCACGACCGGAAAATGGATCATTTCAAGACCCTTTTGAAACAAGCATGATCACTCTCCTGCTATTGCTGATCACGTTAAAACAACTGATCACAGCATCAAATGGGACCATTTTGACATTTTGGCGTCCGTTAAGACTGACTACCATTGTGAGGCTAAGGAGACCTTATTTATTCACGATTTGCAGCCAGCATTGAATGCCACTGTCAGCAGTGAAAAGCTTCTACTTCATTAGGAAAGCTTTTCCATTGTTCACCTTTACGGACATGTACAGTTTCCGTTTGAAATGCCTTAAATTTCTACTGCAGATGTTTTTCTGTCTAGGTTCCAGACCCTCATTGATACAGTATAAATAGCTTTCGAAAAATTTTAACGGTTATACTTTTGAAAATGTATGTTGACTAGCATACGAAACGTCAAGTTCATAAAATGCATGTTTTAGAAATGTTTGTCACCGCTGTGTGTTTTATATTTTTAATCAAGCTACGATGGCCGAAGACCAAGAGTTTATATGATATTACCTTAAAGAGCTTATGAAACTAAGTAATCGGTAAAATTTTGAACTTTTTGAGTGTGATACTGAAGGGGACTTTGGGTTTCAAAAACTGCAAACTTTTTTTAGGTTGTAAATGCCCTGATTAGCCCATACAGTCTCTGTAATTTCTTAGATTAATCGCACCATGCCTTTTAAATATTCAGACGAAATATTTTTGAAGCTCTATCAGAAACAGAAGAAAACAAAAAAACAGATATTGTAAAGAAAGATCCCGCTAAAAGAGTAGATACGGTGGCTAACTATGAGCCATTTCTTTTTATAAGATTTGTTAACGAGACCCCGTAAACATCTTTTTTTTCTTTTTTTTTGTGACAACTTTAAAAAGACTAAAAGGTTTTAATTTCGGATGTACAAGATATCGTTTTTTTTTAAAGAATAGATCCTAAAGGTAAATTTCTAACCAAAACAAAATTTCGGTTAAATCATAAATGCCACGTGGTTGTTTGAATGGCTCGATTTAATTGTAATGTTAACAGTTTTTATTTGTTAGATACCAAATTATGCTAAAGTGTTGGGAAGAAAATCCCAGCGATCGAC